GGATCAGCAACAGATGAAACCCCAGAGGCTATTTATAGCAGGGTGGCCCTGGGGCCTGAGCAGGGCCTCGGGCTGGGGAGGTTCAATGACTCCTCATCAGGGCCCAGGGAATGGAGATGAAGTGTTGGGTTTCTTCATGTCTCCGGGTGGAGAGTTTTGGAACAGCCTGGTTTGGGGCTTGAAAACCAAACGCAATCCCTCCTTGCCTTCCCCCTGGCCTGACTTACGCAAACCCAAGTCCTCGGGGCCACTGGAGCTGTGGACACAGAGAAACTTTCCACCCTGACTGCCCCACTTGGCTGTTTCCTCCCCTCGCTGCCACTGCTGATGCGGTTCTGCACCAGGAGGCAGCAGGCAGAGAGGGACACTGGGCAGCAGCCCTCTCCAGGGATGGCTGGATGGGGAGTACTCCACTGGCTGGGGCTGCCCTAACCTTGGGCGCAGCTGGCAGCTGGGCCTCAGAGCCCACCCACACCACCTTGTAGGCGCTGCAGGGCGAGGGCTGAAGGGGATTCCTCTCTCCTTGGGGCCCCGGCATCAAGCCCCACGTCTGACTGTGAATCCTGCTTGGTCAACTTGCCAAGGACTTGGGGGTGAGTCACTCCATGCCTCAGTTTCTCCCCTCCTGGCCAGGTTATGGTCCTGTCTCCTCCAAGAGATGACTGTGACTTGGTGCTCTGGAAAGACCGGGAGGCACGGGACTGTCTGAAAGGGCTAACGGGCTCAGAGGGCTCAGGCTGGGCCTGGGAATCTAGAAGTTGGGAGTCCTGATTCTACATCGTGTGAGATGGCTAAAAGGATGCGTGGCTGCTAAGTGATGCAGGGTTTTTGATTTTCTGTTAGAGGTGAATGTTTGGTTCTATCTCTAAGTAACTATTCTTTTATTTGTGTTTGATGTAATAACAACAGCAATAATGACATCTGTCCTTAAATGCTTACTATATATCAGGTGAGGTCCCTGGATGCTGCAAATGGTTAACGTGCTTGGCTGCTAGCCAGAGGCACCTTGGAAGAAAGGCTTGGTGATCTACTTCCAAAAAATCAGCCATTGAAAACCCTATGGAGCACAGTTCTACTCTGACACACAGGGGGTAACCATGAGTCGGAGTAGACTTGAAGGCAACTGTTTTTTATATGTCAGGCATTACTTGAAGGGCCTTATATGCGTACTTCCTTTTAATCCTTACAACAGCCCTATGAGGTTGCCCTCATTTTACACATAATGTTATAGAAGCTCAGAGAGTTTAAATCACTCTGCCCAGAGGGATCCTGGCATCCAGACTGCAGTCTGTGTGCCCCTGCCCCGTGCTTTCACCACTGCCAGCCTGATGCCCTGGGGCACTATGGCACAGAGGGGTCAAGGAATCCAGTTGGGTCGGTTTGCCTAATTTTGTACAAGTCGTCAGATCCTGGAAATGGGAGCGAGTGAGAGGGATGACAGACAACAGGTGGCGGGTCTTTGGGAGCCACTGTCACTTGCTGCCATGGCCCTGTCTTGGTTCATATGTTCCACACCTGGCTGTTCTCTTCTCAAGACTTTTGCTGGAACGACTTGATATTGCTTCTTTAAAGGAGAGGAGTGTAGGACGATGGTGGTTGGGGGACAGGGAGGTCCAGAGCTGGACAGAAGTGAGCCATCCTCTGGTCTTGTCTTCTTCCATGGTTGCAGTCTCTGTTCTCTACTTGGGGTGCTATTATGATGGTCCTGGGAATTGAGGTCAATGTGTTTCAGTCACTAACTAGCTGTTTATTGAGTGAGTACTTGGCGCGGATGGCCCAGCCTAGGTGGGGTTCATTCTAGTCACATGAGATTTCTTCTTTGCCCAGGGCAGGAAGGACTGTCCCTTGGGGATCGCCCACATGTGGGCCACACTCACGAAGGACTAGCATTGATTTTGGCTTTGGGTTGCTATGTTGCTGCAGTCTTAGGGTGCCTGGGCTGGAATATTGGCAGAGAAGAGGATCTGAGTTTGACCAGGCCCTGGATGCCACTGTGGACAGCTCTCGGCTGCTCATGTCCTGCCACACTGCCTGCCCCCTCCATAATGCTGCCTCTCTTCTCTCTTTTCCCAGGGCTCCACCAGAGTCACCCCAAACATCCAGCCCCACGCCCCGCCCATCAGGTATGCCTGGCGCACAGCAGGGAATGGGGAGGGGTGCAGACAGTGGGGTCACGGTGGGTGGGTCCCCTTGTAGGGAGCTTGGGTGACTGCGAGAGCTGCAGTGAGAGGAGGCAGGCTAGAAGCCACTTAGAAATGGTCAGGTTCTCAGTTCTCGCTCTAAACCTTGAGCTGGATTCTTTGTTTACCTGCATGATGTCCTTTAGTCCTGACAACAACCCTGCAAGGTAAGTCTTTTCTTCCCATTTGGTACGTGAAGAAGCTGAGTTTCAGAGTGGTGGTGACTTGTTAAAGGCCACGCAACCACCAGGAGGATTTGACTTCAGAGCTAGCTGGCATCAATGCCTGTGCTAGATCCCATTCATCTCAGGAGATGGGTTTCTGAGGTTGGGGGGTCATTTATAGAAGGAAAGCTCTCTATCTGGCTGGGCTGGTGGGGGTGGGGGAGAGGGAATGGACAGGGAAGCTCTGTGGCTTGCTGATGCAGTCTGTCCTCCCCACCCCAGTCCAGATTCTCTGGCTTGGGTCCCTTCCCTCTCTGCCCTCTCTGCCCTCTTGTTCACTCCCTGAGCTCTTGCAATGAATGAGAATGCCAGCTCCTCTGGCCGTGGGGAGATGGAGCCCCAGCCGGAAAGGGCCTGGTGTGCACGTACCCTAGGACTACCTGCCAGCTTTCCGCAGTCCTGCAGGCAACACTTCAGAGAATCCCCACCTTCCCCTACAGCTGAGAACTGACTTGGGGCTGGTGGGTGCAAATTGTGATGCCAAGGTTGTCCAGGTGGTGGCGCTGTTCTACCTTCTCATGCTCCCTAAGAACCCAACTAAGGATAGGGCAGGTCCCTCAGTGCGCTGGGTCTACCTTGTGTGACTCATGCCTCTCACTACCCTGTATGCCATCCCCTCTCCATCTCGCTGCCCCTCCCGTGCTGAAGGAGAGGGTGGGAAGATGAGGAGCCCAGCTTGCAAGTTTTTCTGACACTCCAGTGTCTTCTTTACGGAGCCCTGGTGGCTCAGCGGTTGAGAGCTACGGCGAGCTTGGGCTGCTAACCATAAAGGTCAGCAATTTGAATCCACCAGGCGCTCCTTGGAAACCCTGTGGGGCAGTTCTACTCTGTCCTATAGGGTCGTTATTAGTCAGAATTGACTCAGTGGCAATGGGGTTTTAGTGTCTTCTTTGGAGCCAGGACAAAGGGGTTTTGGAGGGTGAGGAGGTGGATGCTCCGAGTTAGCTGAGGCTCCCAGCCTTCATATCCATTTCTTTGCGGGGTGTGTGTGTGTGTGTGTCTGTGTGTCTGTGTGTCTGTGTGTCTGTGTGTCTGTGTGTCTGTGTGTGTGTGGTGCTTCTTGTCCCAGGCTGGTCACCACCTACAACACTATCCTTGGGTAGACAATGGCCTGAGTAGGAGCCCCACCCTAATGGTTACACTGAGACACTTCCCAGAGGGACAAGGAACAGTTGAGGCTCAGAGGTCAAACTCAAACTGGGCTTCTTACCTCAGACCACTGGCCCCTGTATCACTCTGTCCCCCATCATTCCCACCATGGAAAAGCCACAACTCATCCTTGGCTTGGCCATCTCCATGCCCTATCAGAACAGCTGGGCGCAGACATAACCCTGGTGGAGATGGATTCTGCTATGGTTCTTTGGTTCTGGGGCTGTCCTCCTTAATGTCTGAGCACCCTGCCACCTTTAAATACCCTGGTCCCTGGTGGTGGTATTTCTCCAGCTGCCCCTCCATGCTCAACTTTGCCCTGCTGTAATCAAGGTTATCAAAATGAAATGTGAGTGTTGCTCACCTTGGATAGAAGGAGGAAGTGAGACACTAGGAGGCTGGCGATGGGGCTAAGAAGGTGTGGGGGTTGGGAAGGCAGGAGGTGCTCCCAGAAGTACTGGTGGGCTTTAGAATGGAATTCCAGAGTCCACTGCCCCTTCCCATCAGCTCCCCAGTGGGTGCCCGGGCCCCTTCCCCTGCGAGAGAGAGAGAAGCTGAAGGAATGTGTAAAGGTGTGAGCCCTTCCCTCCCCTCACCCAACACCCAGGGAGGGTGAGCTGCCCAGCGAGGGGCTCCACACCTCTCTGAGGAGCACAGATGGCGCTGGGATATCTGGGGCTGCCTGCCCAGCGCCCTCTTGTTTCCTGGGCCCTTAGAAGTCGGGAATACTACTGCCTAGAAGCAGCACCGGCAGGCGACGGTGGGAGCTGCCAGAGGTGGGGAGAGAGCCAGGAACAAAGGGCAGGAGGTGGCCTGCCTCCGGGGAGGGCTGGAATGCTCTCCATGGTCTCCCTTACCTGGAATCCAAGTGAGTGTGTCACCTGAGCTGCCCCCTTCCCCTGAGAGGCCTCTCCGCCCACTCTACAGCTCGAGAGCCGGGGAGGGCAGCAGAAGGCGAAGCTCCAGGGTGCTGGAGAGCACCCAGCTTGGGCTTTCCTTCCTCTTCCAGAGCAGTCGGGCTCCTCTGGGAGACTTCTGGCTGACCAGGAGGCTGCAGTGTGTCGGGAGGCAGAGCTGGACTCCTGGGTTGCTGGTCATTTCTGGCCCTGGCCTTGACCTCTGGAACCCCAGGTTGAAGGCAGTACCAAAAGGATTGATGGGAACCTAGAATCGGTGTGATCTCTGTTTGATTCTGAAATGGTCTGAAGTCCCTGCCAGACCCTACTGCTCTGCTCTCTCCGCGCTCCCAGGCTGGCCTGCTGGCTGCACTGGCCTTGCCAGGGGAAACCTTCAGCCTTGGCTGTGGGTCATCGAGTAGCCCAGCACCCTAGACTGAGTGTGGGAGTCACGCGTGGTGTGTTGGGGTGCAGATATCTGCGGCTTGCCCTAGGGGACTGGATTCTGATCTACCCCCACCCCGTTCTGGCCCCTACTGTGTCCTCAGAAGCATGAGTGTGAGCCGGACCATGGAGGACAGCTGTGAGCTAGACCTGGTGTACATCACGGAGAGGATCATTGCCGTCTCCTTCCCCAGCACAGCCAACGAGGAGAACTTCCGAAGCAACCTTCGAGAGGTGGCCCAGATGCTCAAGTCCAAACATGGAGGCAACTACCTGGTGAGGGTGGGGCTTCTAGCCCATTGTCTGGTGTCCCTTTATCCTTTCATCTGCTTGCCACCTCTTTACTGCTGGTGTCTCTGCTCACTTGCTCCTGTGCCAGTGCTTCCTAGGGCTGCTGGAACAAAAATACCCCAAACTGGGTGGCTTGTAAAACAGAAATTTATTGTCTCACAGTTCTGGAGGTTAGGAGTCTGAAATCAGGGTGTCGGGTATGTTGATTCCTTTTGAGGACTCTGAGGGATAATCTGTTCCATGCCTCTTTCCTAGCTTCTGGTGACAGCTGGTGATCCTTGGCTTGTAATTACTTCAGTCTTTGCCTCCGTCTTCACATGGCCATCTTTCTTCTGTGTCTCCCTGTCTGTCTGTTCTCCTTTTTATAAGGACACCCACTCAGATTGGGTTAGGACCCATCCTACTCCAGTATGACCTCATGTTAACTGATAATGTCTTCAAAGACCCTGTTTCCAAACAAGGTTATGTTCAAAGGTACTGGGGGTTAGGACTTTAACATATCTTTTTTGGGGACACAATTCCATCCATAATACCCAGCTGTTCCTCTTCCTTCTGTTAACCTGCCCTTCACAGTGGGCATCTCTTGGGGCCTGAGTCTTCACTCACTCTCCAACCCAACTATGTTATAAGGAGTGTATCTGCAGCTGGAATGTAGCATCTGGAACCCAAGTCATGTGTGTGTGTATGTGTGTGCTTGTGTGTGTGTTGATCAGGAGAAGAGAATAATAAAAGCTCATGTTATTGAGCACTTACCATAGCCAGGCCCTGTTCTAAGTGCTTTCTATGTATTTAACCTTCATAGCAGCGCTAGAAAGCAGGTACTTGCTGGAGCACAGAGAGATGGGGCTATTTGCCTAGGGTCATAGGGTCAGGAAGTGGCAGAGCTGGCACAGTGTTGGTGCCTCTGAGAAGTCTCAGGGCAGTCACGCAGCATGCATTGTAGGAATCTTGGGTGGCTGGCACCTGGCTTGGCACCTGGCTCAGCACCTGGCGCAGGGGAGTCACCTCTGGGTGGGTGAAGGTGGCTGGTGGTGGTTGCCGCTAATGTTGGGAAGGCTGACCTGAGGGGCTGGGCCTATCCTGGACTCCAGAGGAGGACTTGGGAGATCCATGGGGACTGGACATACGGATTAGATCTGTGTAAGCTCGAGGGGCTGCCCCAGGGCATTTGAGCAGAAGTGGAATGTGGGAAGCTGTATTTAGTTTCCCGTGGCTGCTGTAACAAATTACCACAGACTTGCTGGCTTAAAATAAGAGAAATTTATTCTCTCATAGTTCTGGTAGAAGTCTGAAACCAAGGTGTCGGCAGGGCCATGCTCTTCTGAAGGCTCTAGGGGAGGACCCTCCCTTTGCTATGTCCTCTTCTCTCCTCTTCTTATAAGGACACCAGTCATTGGATTTAGGACCCACGTAAATCCAGGATGATTTCATCTCAAGATCCTTAACTAATTACATCTGAAAGACCCTATTTCTGGAAAAGGTCATATTCTGAGGATACAGGTGGACGTGAATCTGGGGGGACACTATCCAACCCACTGCGAAGGCCCATCTGTTAGCTGTGTTGGAGCATTTTTTAAGAGACTGACTTTAAACATTAGAAAGCCCTAGGTTCAAATCCTGGCTCTGTTCCTACTAACCAAATGATCCTGGGCTCTTAACCTTACTACTAAGTGTAGGTTCCCCATCTGTAAAATGAGTATAATAACACTACCTCTCATGGTTGTGGTGAGAATTAAACTAGCTGTTAGATGCAAAATCCTTAGCACAGGGCTGGCAGGTGGTGAATATTCCTCCTCAGTAGATAGTGTAGGGGGTCTTTGAGTTTTGTAGGCAGTGAGGCAGGGTCCACCAGGCAGCTGTGCACAGAGCTGGGTGGAGATGGGGAGTTCTGGAGGCTTTCTTCAGAAGTAGAGACAGCAATTCCCAACACTGGGAGATTCCTGTAGGCGTGAGAATATGGGGTTTTCCTGAGGGTATGTATGGTTAGGTGTTGGAGGGAATCTGATGGGAGAGGGGTGTCAAGAGGACCCACACAGGATGGTTTGCACCCTCTCATGGAGGGTATCTGACCACAGAGAAGTTGTATCTTGTATGAGGTGAAGTTATAAAGTCAACGTGTGAAGTGGAAATCAGGGATGGCCACAATGGTTATCATTTAGCACCAGACTCCTATTTAGCGTGGTGAGATGCTCCCTTGGGGGTGGCACATGGGACCTGAGGCAGGTTCCACCCTCTTCTCATCTTCAGTTCAGGACATAGGTCACTGAGGGGAATGTTGACTATCTATTTCTCTCTCTCCCTCTTTTTTTCCTGAGAACTTGTAGTTGAGTTCCTATAGTCAATGTATGTCTGATGGGACTCCACTGTACTTTCATGTATGGATAGAACTTCCATTAAGTGAGAGAGAAAGAGAAGGAAAGGATGGAGATGGGCCAGCGGTTCAGGTAGCTCATGGCTCAAGCTCTTGGCTGTGATAGGACCATTATGCTCCGCCCATCGGTGGAGAGGACGCTTTAGAGGAAGTTGGAGATGACACCACAATCCCAGCGTGGCCCAGTGGGTTTCTTGTCATGGTCCTCCCTCTCTCCTCCTCAGCTCTTCCCATCCACAATCTCTTCCTTTTTCTCCTTCTAGCTTTTCAACCTCTCTGAGCGCAGACCTGACATCACGAAGCTCCATGCCAAGGTGAGCTGATGGCCGTTTTGGGGTGGAGGACTCTTTCCACCTGAAGAGAACAAGGGTGGTGATTTCCACTGGCGGGAGGGGGCACATCAGAATCTTGGGAGAAGTGCTGTGATAGTTCGAAAGACCTGCTCAAAGTTAAAAAGCCATCTTACATTTGGGAAATAGAAAATAATATATTTAGTGTTTTCATAATACAAATTATAGAGCGTAAAGCTGGACACAGTAATTTACCACCAAGCCTGCCCCTCAAGGGCCACACAGAATCTCTGGAGTGAGGCTGGGCTTGGGAGATTGTTTGCTTTACTGAAAAGTATCTTGGATTGAGAAGGGCTGGGAATGGCTGCTTTAGACTTTCTCACTGCCAGTTCCTACTGTGTTTGCTCAATGGGTCTTGAGTGGCTTTGCCCTGGATGTTGGCTCCTGGCTTCTGACTCCTGGGGCCCATCGCTGTGGGACCATGGGCAGGCAACAGACTTCTCTCGGCCTCCATTTGCACCTCTGAAAGTGGACGGCTCATTAGAAGTGATCTCTGGGCCCTTCCAAGCAGAAATTCTCTTTGACTTTAAAGTCCTGTGAGTTTAGAAAAGTTTTAAGAAGCCTGAAGACTGTTATTCAAATCTACCCTTCTGTCCCTTTGAGCTTCCCTTGGCTAGCCTGAGAAACTCTCATTTGCTGTGGAAATAATGATGGCCAGTGTGTCCAGGGCCTGAACAAGACCAGAGCCATCAGGGAGCCCTTTGCACTTCCTGCTTTCGTCCCGAGCCATGCCTCAGTGTTGTCTGTGGAAGGAGAGCTTGAGGGCAAGGCTGGTGTCCCTCAGCATATTTAGAGGCCAGGGCCAGCTTGAAGGGGCCTTGGGGTCATTGGTTCCAAGCCCTTGTTTTATTCACATATGGGGAAACTGAGGCTCAGAGAGGGGCCATGACTTGCCTGAGGCTTCGCAGTAAGCCAGTGCCAGAGCCGAGCCCAGGGTCCCAGCGTCTCTAGTCCTGTGCCAGTGACACACAGGGCAGGAACCAGGGCCTGGCTGCTGCTGGCTGCTGCCCTCGGTTGTGGCAAATGGTGTCTGTGCCACTCCCACTGCCCTGGCTGGCTTTCCAGGGTTTCTGCGTGCTTCTCACTCATGGCTTGGACCCTAGGTACTGGAATTTGGCTGGCCCGACCTGCACACCCCCGCCCTGGAGAAGATCTGCAGCATCTGCAAGGCCATGGACACCTGGCTCAACGCTGACCCACACAATGTTGTCGTGCTACACAACAAGGTCAGAGTGGGGGCTGCAGGGCGTGTGTGTGTGCATGTGTGTGTGAGCATGCCTGAAGGGGTCCTTGCATGAGAGTGTCTACCTGCCTCTGTCTTTGGACTGCATGAGCCTGCAAGTCCACCTGTGTCTCTTCGCCTTTCTAGAGGTTGACCGATTCTGTATCAGGGGGCACCCCAAGAAGTGAGGAGACCAGTTTGTGGGTCCCTCAAGAGCAGGGCATACTCAGTTGTGTTTGTTCTATTTGAGGCTCAGCCCCACCCTCTTTCTTCCCCTTTGTCCCCCCTTCCTCCTTAGATTCTCCCTTAGCACCACACCTATCTCCAGCCTCCACCCCTTTTCCTCCCAGGCTTCTGCGTGGGCCCGGGGGTAGTAGGTCTGGTCTTGGAAATAAAGGCTTTTGTGTTTGGGGCTCTTTCAGGGAAGCCGAGGCAGGATAGGTGTGGTCATCGCGGCTTACATGCATTACAGCAACATTTCTGCCAGGTAAGTGGGGTCTTGAGCCTCCACCCTCTGAACATTGGCAACAGGAGTTCCGCCCCTTCCCATGGCCTCTTCCTTCCCAGGGATCGGAGGAAAAGGACAGAAGTGATGAGAGGGGATAAGGATGGGGTGGGAGAGCCCCTAGAAGAGGAGAAGGTGCCTGCCCATAGCTCTGAGCTCTGAGGCAGGAGTCTGTTGGCTGAAAGCAGGATAGAGGAGAGTCCCTTTCTCCATCCAAGGCTCTGGTGGGGCAGCCTATGTGGGCAGGCCCTGTCATGGGCACCCCATCTGGCCAGCTTCCTAGGGCCACTTTTCCTTGCCATACTGAATTCTGTTTCTTTGGGTGATCAGGAGGGAGTCAGGAAGAAACGCTGGATTTGATCTGGGGCCAGCAGGGCAATCTAGAAGCCACCTTGTCCATCTCCTTGCCTCTGGCCAGCAGGGACCTCTTCCCACCTAGGTGTTTTGGAGTAAGAACAGGAAGCAACTTGTGATGAATGCCACTCTGATTCCATTTTTCAGAGACAGAGGAATTCATTCCTTCACTTGTTTAGTCATTCAACAAATGGTTATTGAACATCCACAGTGCCTGGCAGTGTTCTAGGTGCTGGGGATCCGTGCAGTAGTGGGCAAAGCCAAGCCGCTTTCCCCATGGACATGAAATAAGTAAGGAAAGGCGTAACATAACATCAGCTGATACATATTCTGTGAAAGAATAAAGAGAACAGAGAAAGACAGTAGGAGAAGGGGTGGCCTGGTAGTCAGAGAAGACCTCTTAAGGAGGTGATATTTGAGCAGAGACCTGAGTAAATGTAGGGGGATGGGGAGTACTGAGTCATATAAGCCTGGGGGATGAACCTTCCAGGCACAGAGAGAAGGAAGGACAAAGGCCTGAGAGGGGGCGGGCGTGTCTGGGCCCTACAGAAGGAGGGAGGGGAAGAGCAGTAGGAATGAAGCTGGAAGACAGTGGTGGGCAGAGCCAGTGGGGCCTTGTAGGTTTGATAAAGACTTTGGAGTTTATTCTGAGAGTGACGGGAAGTCATTGGAGATCAAGAACAGGGAGCTACAAGATCTAAGTGCTCCATGTTGATGGGCCAAAGATTCTATGGAGAGCTTGCCAGTAGGATGGTAGTTTATGACTCTAAGAAACCCAACCCAGCCTAATCTTTGCTTAATGGTGAACATTTCCTGTGTACCTACTGTGTGCCAGCTGTTATCTTACTTGATCACCATTGCAACCTTTGAGGGAGGAGTGCTCATCACCCTCATTGACAGGAGAGAAAAATGAGGTTCATAAAGATTAAGTCACATGCCCAAGACACATAGCTAATAAGAAGTGGACTTGAGATGAGATCTCGGGCTGTCTGGCTCCAAAGCCCACATGCTGAATACTGCACCATATGGGATGGATAAATGCTGGAGCACTCTTTTCCTGAAAGCTTCTCAGCACAGGATGGCTAGAGGAAGAGGTCTGTCCTCCACTAGGCACCAGGGAGGGCTCTGCAGGCCTAGAGAAGTTGAGGTGGGGGACGAAGGGCTCTTGGACGTGGGAGTCGTCTCCTTTGACCATCTGTCTCTCCTTGCAGTGCAGACCAGGCTCTGGACCGGTTTGCAATGAAGCGATTCTATGAGGATAAGATTGTTCCCATTGGTCAACCATCCCAGAGAAGGTGGGTCTCTGGGGCTCGCAGCCCAGTGCATACGTTTGAGTACTTACTGTATGTGGGCACTAGACTTGTGTACTCACAGGGGAGGAATCTCGTGCCCAGGTTGCGGCGTACCAAGCACAGGTGCTCATATGCCAGCCTGAGGGTGTCTGGGGTGGTGTGGATTCAGGACTTGGGTGAGGTCATGGGCCAGCTGGTGTGCTCAGACAGGTTGGCACGGCAATTAACTCCTGAGGCCTGTGCCAGAGAGCAGCAGGGTCATCCAGGGGGAATACATCTGTGGCTTGTATAAGAAGGCACGTGCTATTCTTGGCCCTGGCAACGAGGTTGCTCTGTGCTTGAATGAGCCTTTAGAAAGCTGACATCATGGCCACCTGCTCTGGGGAGGTCACAGAGACCCAAGGAAAGGGTCATCTTCTGTTGGGAAAGTTTTACCAAAGCTCTCAACCACGTGGTCTCACTGGAGTCTCACAATAGCCCAAGAAGGAAGCAGGCAGGGCAGGATGGATGGATGGATGGATGGATGGATGGATGGATTCATTCATCTGGCAAATTTTAGGCCCTCTACTATATTCCAGGAGCCCTGGTGGCACAGTGGTTAACTGTTCGGCTGCTAACCAAAAGGTTGGCATTTTGAATCCACCAGCTGCTCCTTGAAAACACTATGGAGCAGCTGTACTCTGTCCTATGAGCCGGAATTGACTCGACAGCGGTGGGTTTGTTTGTTTGTTTTTGCTATGTTATAAGCACAGAAGATAGCCAGGTGAACAGGACAAAGTCCTTGCCCTCATTGAGCTGCTATTCTGTTGAGAGAGATGGACATTAAATGAGTAAACATACATACAAGACAATTTAAGAGAGCAATAAGTGCTGTAAAGGAAAGGGAATCACATACTGCAGAGACCAGAGCTCGTGGGATGAGAAAGAGGCTACTTAATGAGGGTGGTCAGGGAATACCTCTCAGAGGAGATGAATTGGAGCCCAAATCTGAATAATGATTTTTGAAGATGTAGGACATTGCATTTTACAGATGAGAAGCCTGAGCTTAGGGAGGGGATGTGACATGGCCAAGTCCCTAGCAAGTAGAGTTCACCCAAAGACCTTATGATTCTGGTGTCTAGGCTTTGCCCCCTGGGTTCTGCTGCCCACTGTCCCACTGTGCTCTGTGGATGACATGTTTAATGGGGCCTGATCCACAGAAAGGCAAGGGGTATTAATCAGGGCCAGGTGGTCCTTGGGGATGCTGTAGCTGAACGAGAGCCAGAGTGGTGGAAACTCAAGCCCAAACTGGAGAACTGGGGAGTGGGATGAGGGCCCAACTCCTTTTATGGCTGGGAGTTGTGGACCTGCCATCCACCTGCTTCTGATGTGTCAACACTGTTCCACACACTGAGGATGTGGTGCTGAATCTGTCAGACAAGGAAGGTCTCATGGAGCTTATCTTCTGGTGGGGGGATGATGATAGCCAAGTACATACACAATGAAGACCATTTCAGAGAGTGGAAAGTGCTTTGAAGGGAAAAACAAAACACAGCAGAGTGACAGTGAGGGGGGTGGGAGTGAGGACCCAACCTTTCTGAGAAGGTGATATGAGGTGAGATGTGAGGAGGGAGAAGGCAGCATCCAAGTGAAGGTCTGAGATGAAGGATCCAGGCAGAGGGAAGAGCAGGTGCAAAGGCCTGTAGGCCACAGGTGGCCCATTTAATTTTCCAGCAGCAGCAGTAGCAGTAGCGGCTGCATGTCTATGAGCCCAAAACACTGACTGGGCAGGCAGGACCCCGTGGCTGCAGGGCCCTGGAGCTTCCCAGCCTCTCTATGCTGAAGGGCCCCAACACAAACTCCATTCCTTCCCACCCTACTTGGCTGCTTAGAAGTGTGCTGGCACAGCTGGGGGCTGCTTCTGCCATTGTAGTGGGAAGCCCAAGAAGAAATGAGGGAGTCCTCAGGCAACCCAGCACCTTACAACTACAGCAAGACAGCTGATAGCCAGCCTCTAGATCAGCGATCAGAAATAGATGTTTTTATGTGCAGAAAATTTCTGGCTAGGCCCTAGGACACAGCAACTGTGGATCAATGCGTTTTCCCAGGATAGAGATCTCAGGGAGGAAAGAACTATTGGTCAAATACTGGCTCCTCAGTTCGTGGCTCACCACGTATAACTGGTGGTCTTGGGAACAGGTGTGGTCCTTGATCTTGAAGGACAAGGGATACAAATAGAGGAGCATGATGTTACCACAACACGATGTGGCTTGGAGAGTGTGGACAGATCAGTCCCATCTCTGGAGCTGAGCAGTGAAAGCCTGGAGGCTGGGGATCAGGATTATCTCTTGGGAAAGGCATTATGCTCAGTGTGTGCTTATGTAACATGTAATTGGTATGTGTGTGTTTACATTATCTGTGTCAGACCTGCAGCTCATATCTGCAACTGCATCTGCTTATGGGTGGGTAATTCCGCCTGTGCCCAAATGTGAAAGTGCAACTGTTGGGTTTATTATGCGTCTGTTGCACTTTCCCACCTTCTTGTCTGTGTTGCCTGCAGGCGGATGCAGCAGTTGGAGGAGAGGAGGGGGAGGAGAAGAGGAGGGAGGGGTTATGCCTGCAGCTCCCCGATTCATTGTCAACCCACCCCTGGACTCATTGTCCCCAGCACGCAGAAACATCCTGTTTGAACGATCAGGAGATCTGATAGGAATTCTGTGATTCCAGGTTTCCGGTTTGAGAAGCAGGGCTGGGGGCTGGACAAGGGCCTGAATAGGGGCTTGTGGTGCCCATCAGATTGTCTCACTTGGGTAGTCCGAGGTGGCCCCACCTGGACCCAGGGACAGAGGAGCGTAGGCCTGGAGGCAAGCCAAGGAGCCAATTGACAGGAAGGGAGCGTTGTCATGGTCATGTGGGTTCTGGTCCCACCTACTCAGAGAGTTCCCGCTGACCCCTGCAAAGTCTCAGGATGCATTCTGATTGGCCTGGTTGGCCCAGCTTGGCATTCTGTGGCCAGTCAGAAAAGGAAGGAAGGGCCAAGCAACCAATAGCAATGGTCCAACCTCTAGCCCAAGCAGATGCAGTGGAGTTCTAGACTCATTTCCTCCCTCCCCGCCCACTTCCAGCTTTGCATGTTCTTGCTGTGTGTCTTTGGGATGCCCAACCCTTTCTGGACCTAATTTTCTCTCTCTGTCTAGGAATGGAGATGAGTTAATCCTTGCATTCTTCCAACAGGATGTTTGTTAAAAGAATTGGGGAATGTTGGCCCTAGAGAGAGAAATACTTACTGGAAGGGAGTTATCTTCAAATATCAAATGAAATGATCTATACAGATGGATTTCTTGGACTTTAGAGTGATATGAACAAATTAAGGATTATGATTATTGAGCTCATAATCACTATTTGCAGGACTTCATGTGGCTGGTGGATCTTTTGGGGCTGAACCAGGGCCTGTGAGTTTAAGTGTAAGCTTGGTTTGGACTTGTGTAAAGGTGTCAGAGCTGTTTGATGATTGATCAGCCTGCCTTGTGCAGTAGTGAGCAGCTAAATGATGCCTGTCAGGAATGTGTGGAAGCGATCTCTGTCCAGAGTGAGTGAGATTCTTGGGCCGAGTCAAGCAGGAGAGAGATGTGCATGTTGACCACCAGGGGGCACTGGAGAACTCCAAGTGGGATATTTGGCTTGACCTGATTCCAAATCTAGAAGTACCTGCTAGCTCTCTCTACCTGGGGCTCCAAGTAGCCCAGACAGATGTGGTCTCCCAGTTCTTGAGTCTTCCCGGAGAAGAAATCACAGCATGTCAGAACTGATGGAGATTCTTTATGCCAACCTAGGTCTCCAGTCCCTCAGCCTGTTATTCTTCCCTTTAGACAAAATTTACGTCTACAAGCTTGACAGATTGTTCCTGTTGTTCAACCCGGCCCTTGTCTTTACCGTTCTGGCCTGTTTGTTCAGATCTTAAGATTGAACAGATCTTAAGATTGAGGGTGAGGAAGGATTAACGTCAGTTGCCACGGAGTCAGTTCCAACTCGTGGTGACCCTGTGTGTGTCAGAGTAGAACTATGCTTCATAGGGTTTTCAATGGCTGATTTTTTCAGAAGTAGATTACCAAGCCTTTCTTCTGAGGCACTTCTGGGTGGACTCAAACCTCCAACCTTTTGGTTATCAGCCTAGGATGTTAACCATTTGCACCACCCAGGCACTCTGAGGAAGGATTAGGTAGGTAGAATCTGTAGCTCTTAGAGACCCAATCCCTGGCATTCTAGTCTTGCCAACTCCTTTTCCAGGAGCAGAGCCATCCTTGCTTTCTCTTCTCCCAGAGCATTGCCCTGCACCACCCCACCTATCCCCAGAGTCTCAGGTTGCTGGGGTCTCCGTCCCAGGCCAGGTCTCCATCACTAAAGCTGCCCTTCTCCCTGCTGCAGGTACGTGCATTACTTCAGCGGCCTCCTCTCCGGCTCCATCAAAATGAACAACAAGCCCTTGTTTCTGCACCACGTGATCATGCACGGCATCCCCAACTTCGAGTCTAAAGGAGGTACCTGCCCGAGCTTTCTGGCTTTCCTTCCCCTCTGCCTCCTTCTAGCTCCTTCTCTTAAAAAGCAGCCTTGGGTGTTAAAAAGCCTGTTAGCTGCAGAGTCCTAAGGCTTGGATTGGTGTCTCAATGGCTCCAAAGATGGAGCCTTCTTTGAGCCCCAGTCTATTCATTTGCAGAATGGGTTTGCTATTTGCAATGCGTGCTGGCAGATCGTGTTGGGATCTGGCAATGGTCTCTAAACTTAAAATGCTTTCAAATGGAAAGTTAGCATTCCTTCCCCTTTCTCTTCCCTTTGTTTCCTTCCTCTTTTTCTCTTTGCTCCTTTCCCGTCCTGCCTCTCCTTTCTCCATTCCTTCCCTTCTTTCTCTCTTCCTGTTCTTTCTCCTCTGCCCCTTCTGTCTCCTACTGTTTCCCCTTCTTAGCTAACATTCATCCCTCCCTTACAGGGTGTCGGCCCTTTCTCCGGATCTACCAGGCCATGCAACCTGTTTATACATCTGGCATCTAGTAGGTATTCCATGGGAACGAGAGGCCAGGGATGCCCAAAGCCCCAGGCTGAGGACCGGGGGGATAGTGGTGCCCAGAAGTTGACATCAGCTGAACTCTTCTTCCAGAGAGAGTTGAAGGGATGAAGTCAGTGTGGATTCCCAGTAGCCCTCTGGGAGAGGGACAGCAGGGAGAAAACCTGCTTCCTGTCCCCACTCTCAATGGCCTCTCTCCCTCTGCCCACCTCTCTCCGTAGCAATGTCCAAGGAGACAGCCAGACCAGCATCTGCATCACCATCGAGCCTGGGCTGCTCTTAAAAGGAGACATCTTGGTGAGTGCCACCCCTCTGACTCAGACCCCACCTTCATTTATTTTTTTCTCCTTCCTTTTCTCTTCCTGCCCCACTCTTGCCTCTCTAGACAACATGGTGGGCTCCCAGCTTTGAAGTCGTAGGCTCTCAGGGCTCCTGCAAGGCCTTCCAACCTTGAACGATCCATTGTCCATTCCTTGCCTCTGAGTTAGACATCCCTTCTTCTGGGTTTGTCTCTTGTTCTGGAACATCTCCAAGGAACAATCTCTCAGTGTGAGCTGGTTACCTCCTGGCTTCCTATTGGTGACAAGGACTCCCTCATTTCTAACGTCAGTCCTTCCTGCTGCAATTTAAATCCACTCCTTCTTTTCCCATCCTGGAAAGTTCTCTGTGCAGGAACGTCTTGGAAGGTCAAGGCAAGATTGGCCTCCAACTCTCTGTTGTTCTAGACGTTCCCCCAGAGAGCTCTGAGATCCTGTTTGGTGTTGGTGACCTCTCCCTCACTGGGTTTGGGGTGAGCCTGGGGGCCTAGTCAGAGGAGCTGAGAAAGAAGACCCCTAGGACCTGATTTCCTGACTAGCTCTACTCCCCTTCCCACCCAGCTGAAGTGCTACCACAAGAAGTTCCGCAGCCCAGCACGTGATGTCATCTTCCGTGTGCAGTTTCACACTTGTGCCATCCATGACCTGGGTATTGTCTTCGGGAAGGAGGACCTTGATGATGCCTTCAAAGGTGGGCTCCTTGGGTGGGACCAAGGGTGGGGGCTCCTGTGCCAGGGAGGGGAGCCCAGCTTAAGGGGATATGTTGGGTAGGGGGGCCATCTTTAATTAGCCATACGGCCTGCCAAGTCTCAGGATATTCTTGGTGACAATGGGAGAGAATGTTTGAGACTGGAATGGTCTGGGAATTCAGGTTGTCAGTGGAAGTGGGTATAACGATGGTGCTCACTCTTTCTCCTAATCCCTGGGCTGTTTTATATCTTGCAACCTTTTATTACTACTTTTCCTGTATTTCCCTCATCTTGTTCTCCTAATTTGTCTCATGTGTCCTGTTGAGAAGCATTTTTTCAACATTCATTGGCATTTACTTTGTGCCAGACATTGTACTAAGTGTTGGGGATTAAAAAAAAAAAAGGCCTAGTTTCTGCCTTGGTGGAGCTTAGAAACCTCATTGAGTGGAGAGGCAGATCTAGCAAGAAATAATTATCCTACAGCATAATGAAAGCAATAATGGAGGTGCTGTGGCACAGACGGTTAAGTGCTTGGCTAGTAACTAAAAGGTTGACTATTCAAATCTGTCTGAGGTGCCTTGGAAGAAAGGGCTGGCGATCTCTTTCTGAAAGGTCATAGCCATTGAAAACCCCGTGGAACAGTTCTACTCTGACACACATGGGGTCGCCATGAGTCGGACTTGACTCAACAGCAATTGATTGGTGGATAATGGCAGCAGTGACAGGAGAACCATTTTCCACGGTAAGAGGGAGGTTGTCAGGGAAGGTTTGGTGTCTCTCTTTGCTTCTTCCCTCTATCCATTTGAGGTTTTAGCTATATCACATTCTGGCCCAGAGCATATCCCCATCCATCCATCTATTTTTCCATCTGTCTGTCCGTCCGTCCATCCGTCCATCCATCCATCCATCCATCTAACAAGCATCTCATGCATGTCTGTGTGTAGCTGGTATGTGCTTGGCCCTAGAGATATAGAGAGAAAGAAGTCAGGCCCCGCCCTCAGGGAGCTCACAGTCTTGTGGGAGGAACTGACACACAAATCTGATTTTGTGAAGTGATGCGCGCGTTAACGGAGACAAGCACAGGATGCCCGTTCCTGCTGTAACTTTTCTTTCTGTAATGAGTGGATGGTGCTCTCTGTCCGCATGGGGCTCAGGACAGAAAGCAGCGAGTAGAGCTGGGGGCTCAGAAGATGGGGCCTGAGCCCTTCAGTGTGGTTGGGCCCATGCAGGAGAAGGAGGCTTCTGTGATGGGCTTTCCCTGCACTGGAGCCACGAGGGAAAACCCAGAAATGCTGTTATAATTACAGAGTGGAATGTAAATGTGATCCATCTTAACAAGGAAAAATGAAGATATAGCTGACAAAATATAGGTGGGGTTGGGGACAGGTAGAGGGAGGGGAGGGGAAACAAATTTCCTCCTCTTACATGGTGGGAGTCAGAGACACCATTTGCAACGGACAGATCAAGAGATAGAGGCTTAACTGTAGTATTTAAAGTCTCAAAGGCAATCAATAGAATGAATAAATAATAATAATGATAATAAACCTAAGCAGATTTAACAAGAAGGGAGATGAGAGTAGTATAAGTGAGCCAGATTAGTCATCTTTATAGTGGTAAATCAGTAGAGATTATTGAAAATTAAAATAAAATTAAAATATCTAGAAATAATGGCATAAAGCTATTATTTAGAGTCTTAGAGGAAACCACTAGTAGAACAAAAAATAGAAATGGTCACCTCAGACAAGTAAGATTGGAGCTAGGGTGGGCAGAATATATAATGATAATAATGTTAATAATAACATCTGTATTTGTTTATCTATATATATCCTATTATGTTATTAAACATTTATTGGGTCCCTGGATGGCACAAATGGTGTGCACTTGTCTACTAAATCTAATGGTTGGTGGCTCAAACACACCCAGTGGTGCCATGGAAGAAAGGCCTGGTAATCTGTTTCTGTGAAGATTATAGCCAAGAAAACACTATGGAGCAGTTCTACTCCATAATGCATGGGGTTGCCATGAGTCAGAATTGACTCTATGTCAGTGAGTTTGGTTTGGTTATACATGTACAACTTAAATTTTTTTCTCTAAGAAAACTTTTTATGGAGTCCTATGTGGGAATTAATTGCCCATTTTTGTTTTTCCTTCTCCTTTTTCAGATGATCGGTTTCCAGAATATGGCAAAGTGGAGTTTGTATTTTCTTATGGGCCAGAGAAAATTCAAGGTATAAACCAAGTTAGAATCTGTTATCTTGTCCCCTTCTCTCTGTCCAGACCGGCTCCCATCCCACTTTACCATCATCCCACTGGTCTACTCTACACTTATGAAGTTAGCTGTGACTGATAGACAGGCCAGCAGTAAAGGATGTGGGTATCAGAGTGGACCCCCAGCGAAACAAGAACCAGTGACTTAATCTCTGGATAATAAAAATAAAAAAGCAGACAGAGAGGCACTGGGCTGGATAAACTGTCCTGGTCCCATTAGGTCATCATCCTGTTATATTCAGAGACTGAGGGCTGCGGTGGATGGAAGGAGTGGCTAGGGGGACACTCAAAGTTGCTGGACGGATGATGAGTATTTATAAGAACTGAGGTGATCCAACCTGAAGACAAGAAGGCCAATATAATAACCTTTAAGCTTCTAGAATGTTTTATATGGAGACCAGTTCTTCCCAGTTTTATTTGAGAAGAGAACAAGATGAGACGAAGTTAGTTACAGGCAGAGGAACGCTGGACAGATTAAAGAGAGGACTGCTAAGCCAGGATGGTAACTTCCCCTGGAAGGCCTGGCTTGTGGCTTGTGCTGTCTTCATTCCTGGGGCTTCCTCTGGATAGACAGGAGAGACTCCACCTCTCCCCTCAGATTTCTGACTAGAGTGGAGGGCATCACAAGTAGGGGGTAGGGGGCTGGCTAAGATGAACTTCCAGAGGCCTTGTGTCCTCTTAAAGTTAAGGCTGTGGCTTCCCTGCTGTCCCTGACCCTATGCAAGCCTTTCCCACAGCCGTTCCCCTGACTCCAGGGGCAGACTCTCTAGGGTCTCTTGGCACTGCCCCAGGAGCCCCTGGGACACTGAAGAGAAAGAGGTAGCTACCTAGTCAGAGGGTCCTCCCAGCTTCCTCCTAAGGGTCTTCATTCCTCAGTGCCTCTGTCCTGATTTACCCCTATGACCTGGTATGAGCCTTTTCAAGAATGCAAGAAACCAGACTCCTGGATTCTCCTTCCAACTTAAGCCACTGGTTCCCCCTGGCCCCACTCCCCCCATGCTCAAGAAAATGAGAAGTCCCTGAGGAACACCCTTGGGGGAGCTGGTTGGCTTCCTCTGTTCTTCCAGCTGCTGATCTCGTTTTCCTTCTTCTCACTGCCCCCCTCCCCCATTCCACTCAGGCATGGAGCACCTGGAGAATGGGCCAAGTGTGTCCGTGGACTACAATACTTCCGACCCCCTCATCCGCTGGGACTCCTATGACAACTTCGGTGGGCATC